TGAGCTGAGGAAAGGGAAAATCTGGGGATAGACCCTACAGACTGGGAAGGCAATAGGGAGAGAGTCTGTACTGAAGGAAAAAATGCCAGCTCAAGTCAAAATGAGGCAGGAAGTGGTCAGACATTGAACAAGGTGGCAATCCCAACTCACTACATCATTGGGAGTTTTTCCCAAGATTAGGCCGGAGGTGAAAATCTCCATCTGAAGACAAGGGAAGTTTTGCCCACAGATGCAGGAATTTCACTCAGGTGTTGATGTACATGAAGGAGGCCTTTGCAGTGGCACTATGAGGATAAGTGATAGTCTATGAGGGTGTTCAGCTGATCTAGTACACAGCCAGCTCTACAATATAACATAAGATCATGAGGGATTTTGGCTTTGACCAGATATAAGGACGCAGTTACGCTTTCATCTATGCGACGCCATGAAACCTTCCTTTACACATATTAGGGGACATCTGTGCTGTGAACAGCTCCCAAGTGCAGATGCACTGGAATTGCAGATGCACCTTGCGGATGCATCTTGACCTTAGCACCCATCATGTTCTAAAGTGTCGAAGAGAATGACCTTCCCAATCCTTCTGACAAGGAGAATGGGGATCCAGATGGGGGGAGGGGGTAAATGGCTCAGAGGCCATGTGGGGAGGTAGTCAGTACATTACAAAGGCCTCCATGGATGTTCATGAATTCCCCTCCCTCTCTTCACTGACGGACCTGGAATCACGATTTGAAAGACAGTGAGCCTTGCCCATGAGCATCTATCCCTGTACAACAGAGTGCGGGGCCACTGCAAGGTCATTGGACACCTCTTTAAAGAAGCAACTACTGAGTTGCAAGCTGGATTCATGGAGGCGGAATGAAGTGAGACCCCAATAGGGAGATTAGTCCTTGTCTCAAGAGACAGTAGAGCAAATGCCAGCTGCTTAAAGCTCAGGAATGGGGAAAATAGGCTAGAGGGCTGTCCTAATGTGGGGGAGGGTGTCTTTGAAGAGAACAAGGGGAGAAGATGGAAAATGGAGCATTTTGGCACAATTCCGCCATTAGAGAGGAATATGTGGTGCCATTTTAGGAGTTTTATCTCAGCCTCCTGCCACACAAGCTGCAGTTGAGCTTGCTCCTTGGACCGTCTGGTTGCTGTGGAAGAGGCTGCAGCAGGAACAAAGATAAGGGTGTTTGCGCTGAGAGAACATATGCGGACTTTGTTCTCCTTATCACTTTTCAGCCTCCGACAACCCACAGAGTCAACAAAGCAGTGCGTGCTCAGGCTGCTCAACCTCCACTCCCCAACTGCCCTGCTGTATTTTTGCCATAATCCTGGGTATTTTTCTCTTATTCCTCCCACTTGTGACTGGCACTTGGAGATGATCTCAACGTTATACCATGTAGGGATCTCTTCCAGTCTAGTCAGTCTGTCAGGCATTTCACAGTAGAAAAACAGAGGGAGGTTCCATCCTACATCGGGCGTTTCTCAACCCAAGGGTTGTCCAGGCAGTGTTGTTTGGTTCTGAACAGCTTGGTTCAGAACTTCCACGTTTTACTGGGTTTCAGGTTCAGTCAAACCCCAACTACCCACTGAAATTCAATCACAATCCCTTAGTCAACCCCATGGTTACACAAATGTTCACAATCCCTTAGTCAACCCCATGGTTCACAAATGTCCCCTTGCTGCTTACCTCCCCTTGAGAAGTAGCCATATTAGTCTGTAACTTTAATAAAAACAAATAGTCCTATGGCACCTAAGAGACTAATAAATATATAGATAGTATCATGAGCTTTGGTGGGCAACACCCACTTTTTAAAATGAGAAGATCTACATCTGAGGAAGTGGGTGTTGCCCACAAAAGCTCATGACACTATCTATATATTTTTGTTAGTCTCTGGTGTCACAGGACTACTCGTTGTTTTCAGATGTTCAGGAACCTTAACAGACATTCTAATAAGCCCTATTGGGGATTTATAATTCACACACGGTTCTACTCTTCTTGGCTTGTACAGGGGAGTGGTTGGGACTGTAAAATAGAGGTTCATTTTTTTTTCTCTAAGAACATAGATGCAGAATGGAAAATTTGAAAGAGTAGGTGTATGGTTACTTATAGGTGTACATGTATAGTGCCAGATGTGCAAGGATATGTGGGTTAATGTTATGACTGGTATTCTGACTGGCTATGATACAGCATACAAAATACATCCTACCTGCCTCATCAAAGACAAAGCATAAACAGAGGATTCACTTATCTCATTGCTTCTGGTTAAGGATGTTAAGAAGCGGGTAATTGACTAATTGGGTACTTAATACAATTTGTATCGAATATAGGGTGTCCCCCCTATACATCGGTTCTGCACTAATGCTATCGACGCTTGCAGGAACGGTTGTGTTGTAAGACCTCACATTCCCCACTCTTACATAGCGGAAAGAAGACCAATTTTCAGAAATGGACGTCAGCTGCAGGAAAAAACATTCCCTGCTTTACGTCATTTTGCTATATGTCCACGTTTTTTGGAACATATCTTGGCTGTATAGTGGCTGTATATCTTGGCTGTATAGTGGTGGCACCCTGTACACAATTAGTAAATAAACTGCAGAGCCGCAGAGGGCATAGGAGCAGGACCCAGCATGAGCTGGGACTCAGCAATCCCAGACTACTGCAGCTCTACCTTTTAAGCGTAGTAAGACCTATACTTAAAAGGCAGAGAGCTGCAGCGCAGGTGGCTCCCACAGCCAGCACAAGCCAGGGCTGAGCAGTTCCAGCTCGTGCCAACTCCAAAGCCCCTGCTCCCCTGTTCCCCTTTCCGCAGAGACGGTGCTGGGGGGATCCAGCTTTTAAGCTGCACCCCCTCACCACTGGCTCCTGCTTACCCCCACCCCTTTGCTGCCTCCGATACAGAGTTAGCAAGAGGGAGGGAGAACAACTAGTCGAATAGGGGCTAGTCAACTACTTGAATAGTCGCTAATATTCCTACTTCTGGTGCCCACACTTCATGCAAGAAGTCCTGGCTGACATTCCTGGAATGCCTTCTGTGGAACCTGGTTACAAAAGCATACGAGTTCTATCTTTAATGAGGTGCATTTTCTATTCTTTCTAGAGAAGATCCCTGGAGAGTAGCAAAGATGGTGAAATCCTACCTCCAGCAACACAACATCCCTCAAAGGGAGGTGGTAGATACCACGGGTCTGAATCAGTCTCATCTCTCACAGCACCTCAACAAAGGCACACCAATGAAGACTCAGAAGAGAGCTGCCCTCTACACTTGGTACGTCCGCAAGCAGCGAGAGGTGGCCCAGCGTAAGTACAACAGCAAATCTCTCCTAGCTTTAGTGTGCTATAGCTTCCACTATCCTCATCTGCAGGGTGGAAGTCAGGGGAACAGGGTCCTTTCTAGCGATAAGACTAGACAAGTCCATGTCACCATTCAGCAAGGGTGGCCAAACTGCACAAAGCAATCTGCAGCCGGGCACATCTTTAAAGGTGAAGGAGCAGGCAATAGCACTCATCTAGCCGTATATCAAAGTGGAGGCAGTGACTTGGACCAAGAGGGAGCACTACATAATGAACTGCATCTATGTAAGCACACAGCACAGCGGATCACAGCACTGATAGTCCACAGGACTGTCAGCACCAGAAAACAGTTCTCTGCAATTTCAGCTCAAGAAGTAATTCCATTAGTCATAAGTAAGTAGCAGGCCGGTAACTCTGGGGTATCCTCTTTCACACATACTAAGCCAGTGTGTTACAGAAATACATGCTTAAAGTGATAGCCTTGCAACCTCTACTGCCATATGAACAAATGTGGCTGTAATCTGTTTAATTTTATACATATTAGGTGGGACTCTAGTATAATTAATAACTTGGCCTTTGGTTGGGCCTAAAGGATTGGACACTACTTGAGCTACGGCCATGCTCCTGCCTGCTCCTTTTGCTTGTTTGGTTTCACTGCTTCATGCTGGGAATACATGCCATATGTCTGACACAGGGACATATGGTGCAATCTTATCCATTTTAGGTAAATATAGAGCTTTACTTCAATCCTATCTAGCTTTTGCATCTGCATTTGTTTCACGCTGAGTGTGGATCAGCTGCTCTGAGCCAGCTGAATTCCAAGCAAGGCAATGGTACAGAAACATCAAGCCAAGCCCCTTGCCCATTTGTGTTTCCAGAGTTCACACATGCTGGCCAGGGACTCATGACAGAGGAGTCCATGGGAGATGATCTGCCCACCAAGAAAGGGAGAAGAAACCGCTTTAAGTGGGGTCCTGCCTCACAGCAGATCCTATTCCAAGCTTACGAGAGACAGAAGAACCCGAGCAAGGAGGAGAGAGAGGCCCTGGTGGAGGAGTGCAACAGGTGAAAG